GTCCAGTTTACTTCATTGCTAAGCAGTAAATTATGTTTTTAAAGATAACTCTGCATCAATCAGCTAAGCATCAGACTTTCAAAGGCTGTGTAAAAGGTACAGATTCACATGCACCCATCTCTCTGCTGCACAAACTATGTGCTTTTCTCAGTACTGTTTTCGTGAAAATCAGGATGGCTTTAATGCAGCCAAGCACTTAAGCTTAAGTATTGAGTATAAAAGCACCTCTCCTGACTTCCTCGAGATTATTCATGTGCCTGCCTTTGGCATTTAAGCACTAAGTTGAGCCAAAATCCATAGTGTTATCTAAAGGAAATAACTGAATATACTGGATTAAAACACTTACAAATGTTGTGAGCACCATTGCTGTGGGGAGCCTGTTTTGTAAAATGGGTAATGTTTATAGAATAAAACAGGACAGAGGTTTCTACTGCTCTATCACCTGAATCCAAATGAAGAGACTGAGGAGTTACAAATAGAGAGCCACAGACTGGCAGGGATTTGTGGAAGTCATTTTATCCAACCTCTTTCTCAAGCAGAATCACCTACCACAGGCTCCCCACAACCATGGGCATACTTGTTCTTTTGAAAGCATATGAATGCTAGAAACACCTCCAAGCAAAACAAAACAAACAAACAAAAACATAGAAATTCATATTATGAGTAAGTTTACAGATTCCTGAGAGAACTGAAGTCAAAGCAAAGACTTGCAGGAGAACAGAAACAGTCATGAACAGCACAAAATAAACTCTCCTCAGTTTCCAATCTGACAGTAACTGATGATCTTAAGATAATACATCATACATCATTTTGGCCTAAAGACAGAGACAGTTCTTTTTGTGAAGTAACATCCCCTGCAAAAGGACAGAACATTCTCTCAACTCAATCTCTACACCTCTGTTTCATAAAGAACTTGGGGATATGACTGAAGGAAGAATTGGGTCTATTCTTCCAAAGAAAATAGGAGAAGCTGTACATTTTTCAAAATTTTTTTGCCTGATGAAAACTATAGAGTTTTACATTTATTGTTTTTTGCATGGGAGGAGGAAATGAGCCTTGTACAGAAATGATCCTTTGAAGGCATCAGCTGGCACAGTACCACACCATAAGTGCTGATGGGGATTTTGCAATGCAGACAGGGATTCCATTGCCATGGAAAAGCAGGATCTCCATCCCAGGCTGTACAGCTCACAGATCCACATGAGATCTGACACAGACAATGGTTCTGCTTCCACTGTTTGACTCAAAGTCACAGACAGCAGAACCCATGGACAGCAGTGGGCTCTTCCCAAAAACAAAGCAGTCAGAAGAATGGAGTGGCAATACTCATTTCTAGACACTGCACATGCTTTCCAGGCTCCCTGCAGGAGGTATTTCTGTATAAAGATGGACTAGGCTACTGTTGAAATCATCTATGTTCTAAACACTGTTCTAATAAGGTTTCTGTGAAAATAAGCCTTGACAGTAGGCTCAGAATACAGGATTTGCTTTTTGACTTCTCTCCCCAGTGAATATAAGCCTGATATGTAGACCTCTGCCTGAAGTTCTGTTTCATGTCAACTGAAAGAGAGAGGTAAAAATAAAACCAAACCAAAATTCACTCCTAACACCTTCTGAGTTTCCATGCTCTCATCAGGCCTGAGATATTCATGGCAAAGGCACATCTTACCTGGAAACACAGGAAGGAGTGATCAGTGGCCAGATCTGTGTTATCAGTAAAAGAAGAAAGATTTATTTTTTTCTTTTCTATTTTTAGTGGCATTTATTTAGTAACTCCACTAAAAATCAAACAATGTTCATCTATCTATGACCAGCATATAGCTCATAAAGAAGAATCAGTAGTTTGCAATTTCAGCTCAGTCACTGTAACTTTTCTTACACTCTCTTCTAGATTTCTCTTATTTATTTATTGTATTTCTAAGGATTTTCTGTTAGGGCCCGTGGACACGTGTACATAACAGCCATAAAAATCAAAAATGCAATCACAATCCCTGACCAAACAGGGTTAGTGAAAAAAATGATTTATGCTCTGCACAATTCCTCTATGTGTTAAGCTTAACAGAAACAATTGTTCTTGTTCCAACTGCACTCGTAACACAATCACTACATTTGCCCTTGAAAATGTCTGCCTAAGAACAACACACCTCCCAGGGTTAAAGAGCTGGGCTTTGGGGTTTTTTTTGCCCCAGATCAGAATCTTTTAACATAAAAGGTTCAGAGATTTCTTTTGAGCTACTACGATGGCTGTAGCCCTGCACAGGGTCAGGCAGCAATGAGCAACCCTGCTGTAATGGTGGGTTTTCTGCTATTCCCCCTCCAGTGCAGAATAAATGTCCTTTTGTCACTCTGTGGAGTACTTGATTTCCCACAGAATGGTTTATTTCTGCAGAATTCTCCAGGCACACAAACCATTCTGTTCTGGTGAGCTCTGCACGTCTTATTCATGGTAATTACGTTCACATCTTTGATCTCAGATGAGATCTCTTGTGCATATTTTGTTCTATTTATGTCTTTGATCTTGTTACTTGTTTTTCCCCCTTTTTTCCAGTTGCCTGCCTTTCCATTTGAAAGATATTCATCCTACATCACTTTAAAGACAAAAGGTGAAGCAGTGCTGTATGTATCCTAAGTAACCTTGCAGAATATACAGGAGCGCCGAGCAATTTTGTGAGCAGAGCACATCAGGGTTTTGTCTCCCAGTTTAAACGAGCAGCATCACATCGTGTTGCTGACACCAAGGGTGTATCTAGGCAGCTGAAAACAAGATGTGGTACAGAGAAGAGTATATTAAAAAAAAAAAAAAATAAAAGCTAGTTATTGTGATGACCACAGTGACAGCAGATTACGCTGGCAGAGAAGAGCCACATGGGAGTCATGAGTGTGCAGGGCCAAATCTGCTCTCCATGGCAACAGGCAAGTGACAGGGGACAGCGTGGCAGGGGACAGCCTGGCAGGATCTTCATGTGGAGCAGGGACATGCTGTCCCAGCCCTCACTGCCTGGCCAGGCTCTGCAGCTGTGTCAGTGCTGGAAGCTTCGGTCTCCAAAGCACCTTTGCAGCAGACTTGACCCATAAGAGGCATTTACAAATAAAGGAAGCAAAAAATACTTGTATCTTTTCAGGTGCTTGTATTGTTAGTACTTAAATAGTGAAAGCATAGCTGTGCTAGCATCCTGCACAGTGGTGGCTCTGGTGCTGAGCAAGGAGCTCCTCAGTGGGTGCACAAGCATGCGACAGCTCTGGCACTTAAAGTCAACAGCATCTGGACTTATGGTTGAGAGTAAAAATGCAATACTGTTGCACTAAAGCTGGTTCTTCACTAGTTATCAAAGCAGAACAGAGGAGTAACATTTCCAGGGCTCCAAATTACCATAGTAAAATGACCTGAATTGACTGCAGCATTTCATGGGGATTAAGCTGAAAGAGTAGCTGAATCGCCAGTTACGAAAGCATATGCATGGATAGGTCAGAGCTACTTAAAACAACCATCTCAAACCCCAAATTCAGCCAAAACTTAAAACCAGCTCTTTACTCTGAAACAGTTGCATTTATCATTCCCCTCCTCTGTGCTGGCTTGGCTGAAATAGCAGAGACCTGACAGCAGATCTATGTTGTGACACAGCCATGGAAGAATCCTCTGCTCTCCTTTATCACCTCACAGACAACATTTCATATCAGTTATACATACAGAATCATCACAGAAGGCTAGCAGGCTGGTTAAGGGTGAATGACAGTTTCTATCTGAGAATTTATATCGATTAATCAAGACATCGATGCTAGAATTTCTCGAGCTATGGGAAGTGTGTAGACTGGGGGCAGAAGGCTTCATAGGGCAAGGTGTTTCTAAATGCCTACATTTATCTGCCAGACCTCAGAGAATTCTCAAGCAGCCAGTATGTTCATCCTATGTTGTAGCACTGAGCTTCTCCCTGTTTGTCTCCCTGTGAAACACATGGGAGGTATACTACAGCTACCATGTTATGGCAGCATAGGGCTCCTAGTGCCTGAGTCACTGCCTGCAACGTGTGTGTAACTAATTTCTCTGAGATCTCAATTACCTCTCCCTTCATCCTGTTGTGAAAGTGGAGTTGTTATCTCAGCAGGGAATATTAGTGTCACATTGCTTACTTTGCACAGGTTCCTCTCCACATGACTAATCCTTCACCCATGGGTATAAAGGTGCAGGGATTTGTTGCTAAAAGCTGTGTGAAAATAGCAGACAGAAGCTTTAACTCCCAGGTCATCCCTAATCCAATGGATTAGCAGTCACAGAACGTATGAGCAATTAAGATGGTGAACAAACTTTTCATTAGGATAACCCTAAAAGGACACAACATTATCAGGATATTACTATTTTGAGAAAGGGAAGAGAGAACCTTCAAATTATTTAGGCTTTATTTGCCTTAATTCCAGCAGACACAGCAAATGTTTCTTTAGAATCTCCTCAGAAGCTAAGCTCATATTGTCTCCTGCCTTCCAAAAACACATCAGAAATTTCATTTTGTTATTCTGGATGAGCATTTCCCCAAGCTACTCTCATTTTAAAGCAGAACCAGTAAATACTTTGCAACCAAAACCTCTCTGCTAGCAAGATCCCTCCCACAGCAACTGAAGTGCCTTCTCAACTTGAGCCACAAATTGTGCAACAGTTATGGCACTTGCTGTCTTTGATGATGTGCAGACATCCCAACCTTGTGCAACCCAACAATGTTCCATGGGAAAGTCCTTTCTGTGTAAATTTAAGGTAAATGGAAAGAAACCTTGATGCGTGTAATCCCATTTTAAAAATAATTCTATGGCATGGGAGCCTGGAAATCTGTGTTTGAGCTGAAATTAAAAAGCAAAAAGAACCAAGACATTTTAAATCCTCCCATACATGTTCTTCCACGATCCCAGTAATGTGGGTTACATGACTGCATTTCAGAAACTTTTCCTTTTCTCATCCAGACTGGTTTCCCTAAATCCAAACATCTTGTGCTATTTTCATCACTGATGAATAGGATAAATCAAGAGACCCCTGCCCCAAAGCAGGATGCTGTTCCCAGCAGGTATTTGCTGACCTTTCCTCAGGCAGCTCTGCACCACCCCAGTGCAGGTCTGTCCTACCCCTGCTCATCCCGTGTGGTCCCTGCTCTCCACCCAGCCTCAGACCCACATCTCTCCTGAGCAGCTGGGCCACAGCATCCCCCACTGCACACCAGCTCCCCTCACCTTTCTGCAGCCCCTGGGCTTTGGGGCAGCCAGAGGCACCACAGGCAGGTGCCAGCTTGGGGTGCGGCCGCCCAAAGCATCCTGACCCCAGGATGAGCAGCGCAGGGTCCCCGCTTTAGGCTGAGCCTAAATCCTTCTTTAATCTGCCTTTGGCAGCTCCAGCAAGGCAGGCTGGAGGGGGGATTGGACAAGGCAGTCAGAGCAAGTCCCGCAGTGAGAAAATGAGCCCAGCTGTGGGGCAGCACCCACTGCAGCCATGCTGGGCCGCGCCGCTGGAATTCCCAGCACGGGGACAGGGGATGGGGGTGGCTTGGCAGGGACAGAGATTGGAGTGTGGCAGCAGGGATAAGTGACCAGCAGCCTGGAAAACTGCCAGGAAGACCCTTGACTTCATAGCATTTCTGCTGTCTGGGGAAATTGAATAAAACACATTTTAATTTTTACTGTTACTTTTTTGATATGTGAAGAACAATGTGCTATTCCAGTTGAAAGTATTTTAACCATTTTTTGCCTGTATTCAATGAATATAAATACTCTTACATTAAAATATATATTCCTGCTTAATATAGATGAAGCAATATTTTACATTCATATAGATATATTCTATATTTACCTATAAAACAAAAGCTAAGACACAGCCATACCTACCAAGTGTTTCAACATATTTTCAGACATTTGCCATACTAGAATATTACCAAGAAACTGAACTCTCATTCACATGGGAGTTACAATTCAAGTCAAGCAGCTATATTTTTTTTCCTTCTCAGGAAGAGTTGTGGTCATTTTAGACAAGATCAAAAATTCAGTGCTTCCAACACCAAATTTTGTGATTTCTCTCCCCTCTTTTGCAGAGATATTCAGTCAAAACATTTTGGCTGCAAGGAAAGGGGTTAACAACTGTTAATACCTTTCAACTGCAAAGATTTCCATCATGATCATTTCTTGACTATGTGAATTTCATGCCTTAGAAAAGTATCTTAATTTCAGATTGAATACAATGGTTCAGCACTATAATTACAACCCCCCTTTTCCTTGTCTTATGGAAATAAAATTCATAATTCTTCCTGTCATTTTTACATATTATACTCATGTCACCAGGAGTTTTAAAGTTTCTTTTTTTAAGGTAGTTACTGGTGGTATAATAAAAGAGAGAAAATTAATTTCCTGCAGTTTGAATCAAAGTGCCCCAGTGTCTCAAGATGCGATGTTATAGTAAAACTGTAAAGTTAATGGAATATTAAAATCTGTCACTTGAGCTTCACAGGGAAAAATAGTTCATCATCTGAAGATTGAGAGTGTGATACTAAAAAGGGCTATGTATTTCACCAATTAACTGCTCAAAATTAAAATGAGAGAGGACTTGTCCTTTCTGTTTACAGAAACAGAGCTGTATTGCAACAATTAAAAGCTCCTTCTCATTTTCAGGTAAATAATAATTACCAATTCTTTTTAAACATCATACGACGATAACAATGCTCCAAACACAAACGGGTTTTCCGTGCCTTTGCTGGAGTGATTAAAATGTTGAAGGCATCCCAGCAAGTCCCTGAGCTCCTTGACAGCTGTCATTGCTATTGAACACAACTATAACAGCCAGAGAGAGCTTTATTGGTAAACTGTTCTGCTTTGCCACAAAGGCAATCTCCCAGGCATCTGCTGCCATATTTCAGAGCTTTTTTCCTTCCCTCTCAGATGGAGCCGGTGACTCGGTGCCATGTGCAATTTCTCCCTCTTTATCAATACCATTTGGTGAGGCTTGTGCCACCAGAGCTCAGGAGGTTTTGTTTCCAGGAAAATGAGCAAGGAAAATACATTTTTGCTGAATATAATGGCCTCTTTCTGGGCTAGTCATGTGCAACAATGGAGCCGAGGGCTTTTCAATAGGGAGTGGTGTGACTTCAGTGTTTAAATATAAATGCACAGAGTTTTTATGAGAAGTGCTGTACCCTTCCAATTTACATCTCTTTTTTATGGTAGGCAGAGGAGAAAGCTTCACCACAATGAGCTGCAGGCTCAATAAAGGCAGGTCAGACAGCCCCATGTCTGGCTGAGCACCACGCACAGCCACAGCCCGGCACTGCCAGAGCCCCCTGCCAAAGGCAGCCCCTCTTCCCTGGCTCCCCGAGCTATCCTGCCCCTCCATCCCTGCACCCCAAAGCTTCCATCCCCACAAAGCCCCTCGGGCAGTGGAAAGCACATTTGCTCTACTTTCTGTGTTTTAAGGACAGCAAACCAAGGCACAGTGAAATAGGGTTACCTGCTCGAGGTCCCCCAGGCAGCCTAGGACAGGCTGGGAGCTGAACCTCAGCTTCCCAAATCCCTTGTTTAACTGGGGGGCTGTTCCTGGCCTCTCCCAGTGTGTCACCTGCACCCTGGGCAGACCAAACACCACCAGTCCCCATGCCCCAGGTCCCTCACCAGCACCTCCCTAGGCTCTTCCAGCACCTGGCCAGGTTACATTAACACCTCTTCCCCCCTCCCTTCCCCAGCCCTCTGCCTGGGGATAGCCATGGAGCTGCAGGAAGAGACCTGCAAGGTGGCTTTAGGTACCAGGGAAGGCACAAGTCCCAG